GGTTTTTATATGGCCACTTTTGTTAGCTTCATTAAAACGTCTGCCTTTTAGTCAAAACCGAAAAATATGTAAGGCAGTAAACCCTTTTTTATTGGGTCAATAAAACTCAACAGAAGTAGTTATACTCATTAAACACTTGTTTGAAAGAAAAATTATATGAAAAATGATTTCATATAAAAAACAGATTATTATAACTATATGTTTTTTTTATTGTTGTTGTTTTTTTAACACATTTTCGTTGTTTTAACGAACTCATATGCACAACAGGCACTTGCCATAAAATTGCTTCATTAAATATTAAATTGAGCGTCCTGAGTTCCGTTGCAGCTCGTACTGGGTACTTCACATTTTTAATTCAAACTATGCCGTAAGGATATAAACATTTAATTAAGGCAAACATTGCGTATTAACTTGACGGTAAGCACGATGAATATATTTTTTAATGCTGCAAAGGATGAAGCCTTTACTTCACTTATATGAATTTCAAAAAACCCAAAAAATAATAATACTTAAAATTTTTATTTATTTTAATACGCTTACGAATGAGTTGCAAACTGCTTATTAAGATGAGTGAAATTATTTATGTCAGAAAAAATACTATCTCAATTTGTGAAAAAAGAAATATGTTAAAAAGTGCATAAAGCAAAAAAATCATGAAAAAATATATAATAAAGATATAAAAAAAATTTTATAAAAATGAAATTATAAAAAGAAAATTTTAAATTTTCTCACATGCACTGCGAAAAAATGATATTTATTCATATATATATATATGTTATGTATCACTATAGAGGTATATATGCTAATTAAAGAATGTACATACTGATACGCTGCAATTATGATATGAATATAAATGAAAATTATAATGGAAAGTATAAGCACTTAAGTTTAAAGAAAAAATGTATAAAATTATTTTAAGAAAAACATTTATTTAACAAAATTATATTTAAAATATTTTAAATTTGACTAATAGAAAAATTTTAAATCCATACTTTTATTAAAAGTATCAAGATAATGCATACATAGAGCAAGACCATATCAAGAGCAATGGTTATTTATGAATAAACAACAAAACATAATGAAACTCAAAAATTGGAAATTAAGTGCACCCCGGCTTTGTATATTAACAGACGCATCTACTGCTAAAAGTTAACAGCGTTTCATCTCTTGACTTTGAAACTAATGGTCTGATTGTCAGTCAATAGATTTTTCCGAAGAACACTCCTGATGAATATTAAGCAATATGCGAAACAGCTGTTTGATCAGCCCAAAAATCAAAAAACTCCAAATGAAAATTAATTGCAGTCCAAACAAACTATATATGGAATATAAACTAATTATAAAAATTCGAATATTTCCTAAGACGACTGATGCTGAGTACTTGGCAATACTCGAATAGCGTTCTATGGTAGGCTAAATTTCAATAAATTAACTAAAATTTTTGTTGTTGTCTTTTTATTTCTATTTGAACCCTTCTAACTTTTAAATAGCTTATTTCCGTCATTAGACGCGTCTTTTTCGACATAAAAAATTAACATTAAAAAAGTCATTTTTTTTATATTTGAAAATTTCCTCACTATCTTTTCTATTCGAAATATATTTCTTATCATACATATAATATTCAAATGAAAGCATTTTTTTATAGAATTTTTAATAAATAAAATACAAATTGGTGTCTCCACATTTCCATAAAAGAGCGATAAAAAAAATTTACACCAAACTCTTCGTCCTTTTACTTTTGTCAAATTGTATTTAAAACTACACACTAAAATATATTCACAGCCAGAAACCTAAATCGATTAATATAAATTTTTAACGAAACAAACGAATGTTCAGTTCTCCAGAACAATTTATGAGAACTAGTGTGCGCTGATAAAAATACAAAAAGACGTAACAGGTATAAAAACTATTGAACACTTGCCTTTCAGAGAGGAGAAGTGGGACTCACAATAAACCTCTTCGAAACAAAATAGTTTTTTGCTTTTAGTTAGTGCTTAGATAAAGTGGGACTCACAATAAACCTCTTCGAAACAAAATAATCACTTTTTTTCATACTTGAAAAGTAGCTATAGCGAACTGGAATCGATTAAGGTCACAAAACTGTCAACTGAAAATGCTAGTTTATATCACAAACAACCGCACTATAAATCATTTATGATTAATATCTGTTACGAATGAGATATACGATGTGGGGTTCAAAATAAACCACTTCATACCTTAAATATTTAATATACTCTAAACTTATATATGCTTAAATCTCCAGAACCATTTTGTAAGTGCTGAAATGCAGCGATAAGCGATGAGATAAATACAATTTAAATTAGTTTTGATTATTATCTATTATTGCAAATGATGAGGCAAAGTAGACCTAAACTAACTAAAAATTATTTATAGTATATTGTTTAATTTGATATCTCATATATTTGGATAAAATTTTATATAATTAGAAACGCAAAAATACTGGATTAAATGTTCTTTGTAACTTATCAAAAATACTTATGGGATGGTTGGTAGTAGTGAAAGTTAATAACTTCTAATAAGTAGAAAAAGGCCCGCAAATCGTATCATTTATGTCATACTCCCTTAAATTCATGATGAAATATAGTATTGCCAAATATTTGGATAGTTCATTACGAACTATCCAAACTGTTAACTAAATCAAGGATATTAGGTAGTCACTTTCTGACGTTATTTTCCGGTTTGGAATAATTCTCTAGTAAACGGTTAAAGAACTGATTTTCGTCATGATTATATTTTTGATATATATGAGATATATATGAGCAAAATACAATGAACATATTCTGCTTTTATTAATCGTTATAATTATTAAGTACATTTATGAACTATATTTAAGTTATAATAATTATAGTTATAGTTATTATTTGTTTTTATTACTATTGATTCCTATAATATAGTTGCTACCTCACGTAACTATAAATTTTAGAATTTAAATCTATAAATCTTACCATTTTTTATTTCAAACTCGAAGTTTCACTTTACAGATTACTTAAGCATATGCAGAGTTTTTCAATAGGAAAATAATTTTTTATTTCTAAAGAAGTAGTGAGGTAGATGGATTGAGTTGTGAACTCAGTCTTCATTCAATAATTTTAGATGTGAGAAAATTTATTGCACAGCATCATTAAATCATAAACATTTTTAAAGGGATAATTAAAGCTAAATGACTTAATTTCTGCAGAAAATTATGAAAAATAAACTTCAGAATTAAATATTTCCAGCAACTTGTCTTGGTTGTATCTTATATTATTATTTTGTCTTTCATATCAACTCCGTTTTAGAAAAATTTCAGACAACAATTTTCTAACTGAACGGTTTCCATTCATTAAAGAAACTGAAACTAAAAGTACTTAAATAATTTAAATGGCAGCAAAGAGGCAATCAAGTTCACAGCTTATATTGGCTTTCATTAAACCCCAAGAATTCCCAGGCATGTCTGCAAGGAGCACATAAGTGTGTACTGCCACTCACCACAGTCTTAAACTGAATAAGGCAAGTACAAATGTGGTACAGAATATGGTTACGAGATATAGGCATGTATATGCGAGACGTATGAAAGAAGTACATGAGTTCACTTAATCGTATATGGAACCAATTATGAAAACTGATATGCTTGCGAAAGCGCCGTTGACAGGGAACAACAGCTGCAGTGCATTTATAGCAAACAATATTAAATCTTTAATTAATTAACACACAAAAACACGCAAGCTGCCATACACACACCCACAAGGGCTAGCCGTACTTGATTGTGTTTGAGGCTAGCATTGACAATGAATTTAAAACGTTGACGATATTTAGCAGACGCCAGAGTGGACTTACTGGATATGCCACAGGATTGCAGGCACATAACGCTACGCCGCTTTTATATTTGTTTTGTTGTCTTTGTTTGTGGCTTATTTGCAAATAATTAGATCAGATTTCATATGCAAACCCACGACACAAATAATTCCCCAGCAATTTCGGATAGCAGCAATAACAACAACAACAACAACAGAGCATGTCTTCTAATGAACTTAAATGGTCAAAAGGCTCCAACAGAAGTCCTTGTAGCATTTCTCTATAAACAAACAAAGTTTGCAATATCGCATTGCACAAAACAAGTTATTCGTAAGGAATTAATTATGCATTGGTCAAAGGCTATAAAATATATTTTTGATTAGTACAAACAAGTAGCAACCAAATTGCATTGCTGGATCTATTGTAATGCTACGACAAATGGTAAGCAAAGTGCATTATTCAATACCAACCCAAGCTTTACACATATGCACGCTGTCGTCTATGGATTTGTATTGTTTATACCTAAATAATTAAAAATATTTAGTGCTGTTGTCATAGCAGAATTTAAGTCTACTACCATCACATGAGCAACACATACTCGTAGACCGTTTGTTGCAGCAATTATGTTAATATAATTCACGCGAAATTGCTTTGCAATATCTGTAACATTCAAAGGATTTGGCAAGACACTCTTTGATAGTGGACAAATGCACTTAGTCAGTGCACTTTGCAGTCACCAGAGCGGGCGACTTAACTAAATCAGCAACATATGGAGCAACATTTCGTACAAGTACAGCATTGTATCTTTGCATTTGCATATGTAATAAATAAATTTTCTATTAGCTTGCATTTAGACTTGATTAAACATTTGTGTGCGGACTGCAACTCCAACTCCAGCTCCAGCTCCAATTCCAATTCCGACTGTAACCATGAGTGTTTGTTTATTTGCACATAAATGCAAATTGTTTTAATATTAGAAACGCACAGTCCGTACACATAGTAAGTTCCATATGTAACTCGGTTGACCAAACAGCGGTACACCAACCATATGTGTAGTATTTATATTACTAATATTATTGCTGCGTTTATCAAGTTCATACATACTTAATGTATTTGCAACATGTTATTGTATTGCATGCAACAGCCTAATGCACAGCTATGCATTAGTTCCAGCACCGAATAAAAAGCGAAAAAATAAACCCAAAATGTCACATATACAAAATTTATTATACCAAAAGCTACAGCAATTGCAACAGCAACAGCAAAAGCAAAAGCCGCAACAACAGCCCATACCAACATTTACAGAATGTGGACTAAAAAGTATCGAGTATCTTAGAGGCTCAGTCAGTGTAAATCCAGTGTTACCGCCGCACACTCGATAGAGTTAACAACTAAATTTTGTAGATAATTGCATTCCGTACAAATGGAATTGCGGCTTGATTATGCCATTTTGTGTGCTTTATGTCTACGAGTTTGGCATCTGTTCGCGAAAATGGAATTGCTATAACGGTTATAAATTTTTTAATTGGATTAACTTATTTATTGATTATTGGCAGACTCTTTTGATGTTACGAGAAACTAACAACTTTCAAAATGACAGCAACATTACTATAAACCCATATCTTCAATAAATATTAATACAAGAAATGTTTGCTGGAACTTTGCGAAATTGGAGAGGTCATGAAACTAAAAAGACGTTCAATTGTATACAAAACTATTTTAATTCTATTTTAATATCCAAATTAAAATATGTCTATTATTGAAAAAAAAATTTTCCTTAAACAACAAAGATAAAAGAAAAAGGATTATAAAGGATTTAAAAAAAATAGGAATGGAAAACAAGGTATTTTTTTATAATGATTCCATATGTTTTATAAATATTATTTGGATTGCACTCAGTTATGTATAATTTAAACTGATCATACAACACAACATAACGAAATTACTATTAGAGGACGAAACTTACTGCAAAACATTTCTTTATAGACAGCCATGCAACCTTTAAGTAATAGAAAGACGGTGCACTATTAAAAACCTAAGCATTTTAAATAGTTCTAATAAAATGAACTTCACCCCTGATGCCAAATTTTTGAAATTCAGGAATAATACACATATATTAAGTAATGGACATCGTTTTTAACTGCCCTTAAAACTTCAAATGTGGTATCTCAACGAATCTCTTAGGTCTTCGCGAGCCACCTTTACCTACTCACCTAATGAAATTATTACAGTATTTATGAAAAAGAAAACGTAATAATCGAGTAAAAGAATGAGTAGCAGCTAAAGAAAAAAGAGAGACAGAAAGAGAAACAAAGAGGAAGAGTTTGACGGAGAGATAAAGAGGAAGAGAGAAAGGGGAACAGAGAGACAAAGAGAAAGAGAGAGAGTGGAATAGGAAGAGAGAAAGACGGAGAGGAAAGTAGTGAAAGGGAGAGAGGAAAAGAGGCGTTAAATGAAAGGGAAAAAGTGTGTGACAGATGAAAAATAGAGAGAGGCAAAGACAGAGAGAGAAGAGGAAAGCAAGGATGAAAAAGATAGAAAGAGAGAGTTGGAAAAAAACAAAGATCGATGAAGAAAATGAGATGGATAAAGAAAAAAAGAGAGTAAGATCGATGGAGAAGAAAAGAGAGAAAGAAAAGGTAAAGCAGATAAAAATAAGAATATGAGAAAAAAAGAGAACAAATGACGAACAGAAAGATCGAGGGTCAAATTTAAAAAAATATAATGATATATACTAAGAGTTGTAATAAAGTTGATAGTTGATGAAAAGAAAACTATAAAATACTTCAAGGAAGCGATAGAAAGGTCAACCAGATCATACAAACAAGAGAAGGATAATAGAATTACAGGATCGGCATCATATTCTTAAAAAATATCTTGTAGAAAAGAAGAGAAAGCACTATATTAACCGCATAGTACATATTTAATTGTTGTTTTAGCAGTGCTTTTCTGCTTTTTCATATTCCGTGCCTCAACCTTTGTTGTTGCTATTATCATATTTATTGTTGATATTTATATTTGCTTAAATATTATGTTGGCAATAAAGCGAAATTACTAATTCTAATATAATTAAATTTTATCTGCTGAGAGTTTCAAATAATCGCAATTGTGACAAATCACAGTTTTAGTTAGTTAAATATTTTTACCAATTTAATTTACGTTGTTTGAACTCCTATCTATTTTATATATCTGATTTAATTGCAGTAGTGTAGGAGCTTTTAATTTTTTTTTAAAAATTAAGTTTTGTTTAATTTTATGTTTTACATAATGATACATAAACTTTTATTGTTATCTGATCATATACATGAAATAAATATATAAATGTATACATATACATTGGAAATATTTAAATTTTTTTAAAATACTTCCAAGTATTGAAAAACTTGCAAACAAATTCATAAATCCTTCAGTAATAATTTAGCTTGTCAACATTTTATGCCTTCATGACATGCTAATTTCTCGTTAAAATACAAACAATATTTCGCGGACTAACAAAATGGCGTTTAAATAAAAAAAAAGTTGGTAAAAACAATTTTCTAGATAGGATTTTGAAAAATAAATTTTAAAAAATGTTTGGAACTCATATTTAATGCTCCAAAAAAAATAAAATCGTAAATCGAAATGCATATGAAACATTCGCTTATGAAGGATATTTGGGAACTGCAGTATTGGAACGCACATCCAA